GATGGCTTTTATTTTTGTTTAGTGTTTTACTTGCATAACTGTGAAGTGAACAAATAAAGAACGCTCCACACTTTATGTGTAGAGCGAAAAAAAATATATATTACTTACAATATTTTATTGTTGAAAGATCAATTTCAGCGTAGCAAATGTTGTTATTTTACTTGAGCTTTGTAATTTGTTTCAGTGTGTTCAGTTTTTTCCTAGCAAAATACACAACAGAAGTATGCAATTTTTGGAAATATTACAAGTATGTATGCATTTACAAATTTCCCGTTTCTTACGCAGTGCAAGAATTATTATTGAACACTTTAGATAACATATAATTAGTGGCTGCGGAAGCCAATCTTAATCATGTCAATTAGTCGCACATATTTATATATATATATTTGATAGATAAGGATTATCTGTTTCTACAATCATTTAACTTGTTTCAGAAAGATAAAATAGTGAAAATCGGAGTAAATATTAAGAGTATACATATATACATACATTAACCGGCTTTCACCGATCTGTTAGATGTTTAACCGAACGCTCGAAATAATTTATTAAATCGGGGTGCTACGCGGTTTCTACTGTAACCGATTGTAAATAGAATGAATGAGAATTTGTCATATCAAAAATTTCGTGGAGGGCTAAAATTGCATGTTTGAAAACATTAAATATTTAATGTGATATCCAAAATTTGTTTCGAAATTTTATTTTTATGTTTAAAACTTACATGATATTGGGTCTATAACTATATTCGCGGTTTGTTTTTTCAAAACTTGAATGCTTATTACAAAACAAAACTTGTCAAATAGTATTATTCAAAGTATTGCCCATTTGATACTATAACATTTTGGCATCTTTTCGACAATTTGTGAATTCGTTCCTAAAAGAACTGCGGCTGCTTGGCGGCCAAGACTGAGTGATAGAAGCACATAATACAGCTCTGATCCTACCAAATACAGAGCATTACATTGGCGTTATGGATATCAAGCTGCTCTAAAACGTTTTAAATTGGCTAAGGTTTTCTTCATATTGAAGTAACGAAGAACTCTTCGCAGAAAACTTTTTCAGGCCTTAAGTGAAAAATGTTTGTGTTATTTACGCTTCAAGTGAATACTATATACCGAAAAAGAAGCACAAGGCGAGTCGCTTTCCAACGCTTGTTTATTGGAACAATGTAAAGTTACGCCAGCTCTAGGCAAATCACACGAATATAGTTATAGACCCAATATGTTATGTTATGTTATGATAAATTATGTTAATTAGTTAAGTTATGTTTCTTACGTTTTAATATATTATGTTATGTTATGCTATGTTATGTTATGTTATGATATGTTAGGTTACGTTATATATTTTATGCTTCTTTCTTGAATTATTAATTTTTGTTGTTTTCTTTCATTAACAATTTGGTTTACGCATATGTCAAAAGCTTTTAATTTTATCTGATCTTTTAATTTTATCCAAAAATCGTTTACAATATTAATTAAATTCACTTTCTGACTACATTTAACTCATTCAGAATCATATCAAACGTATGTCTTCGTTATAAAGCCAAACAATTTTATTTTGCTGTCTGTTCGTTGCAGTACTTATTTTAGTTGTTCTTGTTGTTGTTTTATTTTTGCTGAAACTTACTCACAATAATGATCATGTTTACGAACTCTTATGCTTGAATAGTAGTGGCTTGTGGTTAACCGTGGCAAAATATTTTGATTGCGAACAATTCCCAAAGAAATAAGAATGCACACATACATACTTACATATATTCATATATATTTATGCAATGTGTATACCCATAGTAGTAGTGGCATAAACGCATAAGTGATTTGCATGTGCTGTATAAAAGTTTCTACGTCAGTGCAGCCACTGTGAGTGATGGTCAAGCATTGGTTTTTGCACAGTTATAAATAGTATATACTACAAACTAGCAAATGTGTACATATCTATGTATAAGTATGTATCTATGTATGCAAGTACATATCAGTGCATTTATTTCATCATATTTATCTGTTTATACAATATATGTTCCACCACTGGCACTTGACTTGCTCTCGCAGTCAGTGATTCAGTAGCTTGAATAATAAATGTTGTTTGTGGATTACAGTTACTTCTGCATAAATATTGCATTTTCTATGATTTTACAATTTACAAGGTTGCATCAAAATATTTAAATTTGATTTGGAAGTTTGCCTGCAATTCAAGCGAATAAATACCAGCTCTAAATACCATATATGTAGCTAGAGACGTATTGTAGATGTGCAGCTTATATACATATGTGTATATAAGGATGTGCATAAAATCTACCCTTAATTTTTTTCAATGGATAAAAAAAAAACTTTCTCATTTGAGGAGATATCTTCATGAAATTTGGCAAAGGGTTTTGCAATGGCTGTAATATCCCTAGAAATTTTTAAGATCGAGACACCATATCAAAATCAAGTTTTTGTAATAAAACTTTTGTATTTGTGAAGGGTATTATAGCTTTGGTGCAATGTTTTTCATATAACATGACACTTAGTGCGTTCTGTCTAATTCAATAAACAAAAGTGAAATGGTCTTAACTAGAAATGTTTGAAGTTATTTCAAATTTAAATTTTAAATGTTAATTATACTTAAACACTGCAGATAATGCACTTTAATGCGCTTATATTAATATAACCACAAAATTTAATGCCTTAAATGAACTTTTGGTATACGATTTTTATGGGCCAAAAATCGCTTGCGTTTCCTCGCCATATTTTTATGATTTAAACTCGCAACTTTTGTGCTGTTATCCAAAGAGAAATTTAATCCGGAAATATAGCTGCGCTGCCGGAGATATGTATAAAGACCAATGGTGAAGTAGTAGAAGAGCTCAACGCCACTCATCAGTGAGGCGCCCAAAAAGAGGCCAATGATGCCGCCGAAGTTAGCTGGGGAAAGAAATACAAAAAATACATACACACAATGACAGAGAAAGAGCTAAAATGGCACGTTTAATTCCGAATTGAATGGCAACAATATTGAAACCAAATTGAAAGTGTGAATAAATGCGAAAAAAAGTTTGAATATCCAATAAAAGTGGCAAATTGGAAGTGTCAGAGAACAAACAAAAATCGCAGTGAAACAAAAAAGTGCTTAAAAGTAGATATGAATGTATGTAGAAAGCAAAATCAGAAAATCGTACAAAAAAGTGACAACGTAAACCACGTTTAAGTTCAAGCGGTTAACTCGCAAAGTGAAAAAGTTATTGCATTTTTTGTTTCGAAGTTTTTTGTTGCTTGACTTTCGTACTCACCTAGTAGCTCGACGAAAGTGTAACGGATTCGTGTGTTGTATTGCATCATGTAGGTGGAGGAGTAATGCACATCTAGGTGTACTTTTTTTATCTCGTCTGTTGCGTTGACGCTGAGATTAGAGTGATGTCGAGTTGTAGTAGTGAGGTAGTTCATAAAAAGTAGATATGTCGAAACTCTTAAGTAATTTTAGTGTATATGATTTTGAATTTAAAAAATCTGGCGGAAATACTCACGAAAATCGCTTTAAAAATAAAACCTTGTAATAAGAAAAACCTTAAATTTAATCGTAATGAAAATGCATTTTTCAGTAAATACGCGACAAATATGAATGCAATAACTGTGCAAATATCGGCCATCTTTACATTCTTAGATTACAGTTTGAGGATAGTCGAAATCGAACTATAACCACGCCTACTTTCCATATTAATTTCTATCAGATATCTAAAGAAACCCATATGGAAACAAAAATGACATACACATTTTGCGAAAATATTGCCTTCAAAGTGTGGCGCTTCTCGCAAAAAACTAACAAAAATTTTTTGAAGTTGGTTCAAAAATTATCCCATTCCACATTAACTATCTATAAATATTTTCATTTTTTTCGTGTAAAACGAATACATTGGTTAATATTATATGTGATATATCTTATTCAAAGTTTGTGAAAATTATTTCTCAAGCATATTTTGTTAAAGGTCAAGAGTAAATACAATCAGTCCATATCTTGCACTAGCCACAATAAAATTTTTATTGTATATTATTCCCTTAAAAATAACGTACCATTTTTTTGTTTTGTTCAAAAGTTTGGGTTTTGGGTAGAACTCAATTTTTTTTTAAACGCGGCCATTTTGTCAATTTTTGTTTTTATACCTTGAACATGGTATATTAAATTTGCCACATAGTTCGGAACACCCAGAAGGAAACGTCAGAAACACTATAAAATATACTTGTATATGCATATATAGAATTGATTAGCGTGACGAGCTGAGTCGATTTATCCGTTTGTCTGTCTGTATAAACACGAACTAGTCCTTTACGTTTTAAGATATCGATCTGAAATTTTGAACACGTGCTTCTCTCCTCAAGAAGCTGATTTGTCGGAACCGCCGATATCGGAACACTATAACATATAGCTGCTATACAAACTGAATGAACGGAATCAAGTGCTTGCATGGAAAACTTTTATATTTGACGTGATATTTTCACGAAATTTGGCATTGCTTATTGTCTACGGCAATAATGGAATCTTCGAAGATATTGTTCAGATCGGAACCAAGCTTTTGTAAGAAACCTTTCGTATTTGTGTAGGGTATTCTAGTTTCGGTGCAACCGAAGTTAATGTTTTTTCTAGTATTTTTTTTTACTGTAAGTCAATGTCTTCTAGTGGGAATTTTTTTTAAGTTTCACTGACGGAGTAAGCTGGAGTCACGAATAATAATTATTTTTTTTCGTCATTTTACTACGTATTCTTAAAATATGTATAAATAAACCCTTAAAATTAAAAACAAATATTCATATAGTGGTTTTTTTTTGTAACTCACAATAATCGCTGTTTTCGGAAATGTTACACTAGGCGTGCCGTTTAAAATGATGCCTTGTGTCAAGTTTTATGTATAATAAATTATATATTGCTAAAGTGGAAAAACATAAAAATCTTAATTTAAGCCTGATACCATCTCTAAATTCATACTTTTACTACTTTTAGATGCATTCATGAAATATATCAGTTAAACTCACTCTTCTAACGGCTCACTTATATAATTGGTGACGTAAATCAGCTGATTGCAGCTACTCAAACAGTTACAAATCATAGTGTTATTGGACACGGTCTCGACATACTCACTTTCCGACACGCGAGTGTCGGATTCGAAAATATCTGCAAAAGTAAAAGTCAATACAAAATTGAGTTCTTAGGAAAAATGCGATTTGAGTGAAGTCAAACAAGTGCAATTCGCAACGGTGTTTTCTCGCTATGCGCGCATAAAACTGCTGTGTGTGTGCACTAGTATGCATGTGTATAGATTGGTGCGAGGCATTAACGACAAAAGCTACCTCTATATTCATAGAGACACTTGAAATCCTTTGCAGTACATGCCGTTATATTATCTATACGTTGATTGGAATAAAAGAAAGATGAGAAAATATGAGGACAAATAGAAAAGTTAGCAAATTCCTCGAAGACTCTCATGTACTTACAATTGAACAGTTGCACATTTTGCAAATCATCACATATTTACATATGTACTTATATACCCTGTAGGAAAAGTGTAAATATAAAATCAACCCTTCACACGTGCATTTCTTATAGCGTAATATCGTTATCGTGATTTTGATTGGTCAGTTTGAGTGAAAAATAAATGCTAGAGTGGTCCGATCTAAACAATTTGTTTGAAGATTGTTGCGTTGCATCAATGCACAATGAAATATGCCAGATTTCATGCAGATATCTCATCAAATGAAAATACTTTTAATATAAGTACTTGATTTTGATCGGTCAGCTTGCATGGCGGCTATTTCATATCGGCAGTTCTCACAAAAGATTAGCTTCTTAGAGGAAAAAGGAAGTGTGCAGAAAAAATTAGGAACTAGTTCGCGTATATACAGACGTACAGACGGACATGGGTAAGTCGACTCAGCTCATGACGTTGATCAGATACAAGAAACGCACCTTGTAAACAGTAAAAAAATAACAAAGTAAACTTTAGTAGCGCCATCTATATGTCGACTAGTGCGTTAAAATCTGCTATCCTTAATCGACTTCCAGTACCAACTTCATGACATTTCATTTATTGGAAGTGAAGTTATTGCGTTTTAAGTGTAAGTATGTTTTTGTGATCGGTGCGAAAATGAGCTTCGAACCAAGAGCCAACATTAAATTTTGTTTTAAAATTGGTAAAACTTTTACCGAAAAGTTTTAATTGATAAAACAAGTTCATGGCGATGATTGTCTATCTCGTAGCAGAGTGCACGAGTGGTTTAAAAGTTTTTAAAGTGGGCGTCAGGACATAAATGAGAAATGAGCCGAAACCCAAAAAATCGCGCCTGGAGAAGTCAAAAGAGAAGACAATGCTGATTGTTTGATATGATTCCAAGGGTATTGTTCACAAAGAATTTGTTTCTCCCGGCCGAAACGTTAATCCGGTATTCTACCTTGGAGTTTTGAAGCATTTGGTGCGCCGTATTCGACGTGATCGGCCCGAATATCGCGAAGATGTGACAAATGTCTATTTACATTTCTAACTTCAAAATTTCCACATTTATTTCGTGTATTGTGGAAGGCAATCTCCAGGCTGCCATATATCCAGTAAATTTTACACATTGGTGTCATTTATTTATAGATGTATAAGTTCTTCAACCCAAGATGGAGTCAATGCTGAGAGCTTCAAGCAAATTATGCGCCACTTTTCTGATCCTCAAGTTAATATAAATTGTCTAGTGGTCCACTAGGATGATGTAATAAGCCATAGAAAGCAAAGCAAGAAGCAAATTATACCACAACTTTCTCGTTACGAATTTTTGGTGACCGAATTAATATGTAAAGAAATGGATCTGTTGATTGACCCTTAGGCTACTTTTTGTATAAGTATATGTTGCGAGTTTACGAGAGTATTTTGTTAAAATTTACTTGGGATGCGGTAATATATATTATCGAAGTACTCTAAATTAATCAATTTGAGTTTTGAGAAATGATTTCTAGAACTACTTTATTATATCTCTGGAATTGTATTTCGCAATGAAAGCTTAATTTTGAAATTTTTATTTATTTTTAGGTCATATAACCGCCGAAACGGCAAATACTCATGAAATTAGAAAGCGTACTCATTACATGAAATCACAAGCGCCAACTCGATGTATTTTTCCAGAGCTAGTGTTAACAGATAGACAACTAAATCTAGCGGGAGGAATATGCTGTATAAATACCAGATTTTCTTACAGGGTATTTAAGCACATATGTAGGTGCTTGTGTGTATAAGAACTCACCACTTTCATCCTGTGGAAAGAACACTCGCAAATTGCATTTGCATAGCTTGAAAACATATTCTTGATGACAGCGTGCGAAACAGTTGCCACGTCGATATTCCAAACCTGGGATTTTCTTGTAAAGAGGATGATCGTCTTCGTCCTACGGGAAGTTGCGCATATATGTATTTTTGAATATATGATTGAATACACACATACGTAATTCCTATAGTAACGGTATTATAAATTGTGTGCACTTACTTCAAACAAGCACCGTCGCTCTTCTGGTGTTACATCACGTGTTCTTTCGTCGGTTAAGGTAAATTGTGGTACAACCGGTAGTTTTGTGTATGTATTATAATTGATAAAGCGTGGGGTACTGTGCCATTGGTCCGCCTTTTTCACCATAACCTGTGTAAGATAAGAATTTTGTGAGCAGTGAGTCATAGAGTCCATAAATGATACAATTTCACTAATATTATATATAGGTATATATATAAAGAAATAATGCAGGTGAGGATAATAAAATATCAAACAATTGATACACTGAGAGTTCTTTAAAACACTCTTATGCCCTTTTGTGATATGAAGATTTACCAATAGCGTCAAGAAAGTAGTCTGCCTCAAGCTTAGAACTCGCTTGTTTATAAAAGTTAAAGAGTCGGCGTAAAATACTGAGTGAAAGCATTCATTTTTCTAGCATACTTCTTTCCATCTGATGATGACAAAATTTTTCTTACATCTTTAAATTATTATGAAGTGGACTTCTGGATCTGGATTTTTCCTTTTAACCTAACTTTCAATCTTGATAGGGAGTTGTTAAGAATTAATGATGTAATTCGTAAAACATAACATTTCTAACTCACATATATTCCATTTGAGAGACTGAAATTTGGCGGTTGTTTGGTCTCGTCAAGATTTATGACAACATCCAAACCAGATAACTCGGTAGTCTTCGAATTGTGATACGGATAATAGCGGTTTCTAAGCTAGAAAATACCAAAAGCTGCTTTAAACTTTCTTTGAAACTTTCGAACAAATCACCATTCGCTCGCGCCCCTGCTCTGTGATTACCGAATTGAAGACAAAGCAAAACCCATATTCCGTACGTTCCATGGAAAAGAGATCACAACAATTATATGCGTTGCGCCGCCAATGGCAGGGTTGCACGAACATTTCATCGCATGTGAAGCCAACATAACGCATAACCTCCATTATGTCCACATCGTCCAGCAGTGTCAGATTCAAATCAAGTCCATACAGCTGCCGCAAATGGTAGAAATTGTTAAAGCTGAAATCGCCCATTATGGCGAAGAAGCGACGAAATGTCTGCACAACCTCGTCGCTGGCATTCCGTGCGAGAAATATTTCATGCGCCTCCAAAAGTTTCGGCCAATTGATGCGGTTGCGTGGACATATGCCAATCGCCGGGAATGGCTTAGTGAAGATGGGCGCAATGGAGTCTTCGACAATCGTTTGTATGCGTTGCGAATAGTACAAATCGGCCAAATCATCGTAAACGTACAGGCAGCCGGAGGTGGTGGCGATCAACAGCAGTAGCCAGATGACGCTGTGTGAATGTAGAGCGCACATACATACAAAAGAAAAACATATGGCTTTGCAATTAAAACTGTGCGCTTGTCCTGTGCACAACTCACCGTTCGAAGTAGTAAAGTTTGGGGTCGGACAGATAGCGTACGCCATGCACGGAGGCAATGTCACAGTAGCCTTTGCAGTATGGCAACACCACTTGACAGAATGTCGGCTTCTTTGTCGCAGTTGTCTTTGGGCCCGCTTTATTAAAGATGAGCAATTCACTGCGTGGCCTCGACGTGGAGTATGTGAGCTCATGCAGGTATGCGTCAGTCATGACCACAATCGAATAACCGAACTGAGCACGCAGATGATTTTCGGAAATCTGTTGAGCAGTTTAATGAAGCTTGCGGTTTAAATAGCACAAAGCTCAGAGAAAATCACAGCTAAATGAGCTGAACGAAGTAGGCAATGTTTACCAAGTGCCAATATAAGAAAGCAATAAAAGTATACCGAAGCAATATTCCCCGATACAAAGTGCTTTAGAGCAATATTTAATCAAAATCTGACTGAAGATATCGCTCTTATTTGTACAACTTTATGTGCCACTGCGTACATTAATCACTTCATTGGTCCGCAATGGCATCCTAATAGCAAATGTTTTAGCTTTATTCACGAAAGTACACAATTGATCTTTAACCTCAGGTAAAGAGGCCACTAATCTTTTATTTAATGATTTAATGATGCAAATGAAGTAACAATGGGTATGAGGGCAGTTTGATAAGCACGGCTTATGGGACTAATAATAATGCATTTATCGGCGAACTTTATATTCAAAACATACAACATGCTGCGTTATTTATTGCAAATTTTCAGCATTAAAAATATACATTCATCTTTTTTTAAACGCATCTAACTTGTAAATCAGATAACAGATATTAAGGCTACAGCCCTTTAAATAAAATAAAAAGTGTAAAATTGTTCCATTTTTACAAAAAGCAAATATAAAAATATGTGTTAAACATGAAAAAAAAAAATCGTTGAGACATACGAATTGGTGAAAAAATCATGGTGAAGATTATATGAGTCGTACACAAGTTTTAAACTGTTTTTAAACAAGTTTTTACACGATTTAAAAACGGTCGTGAGGATTTAAATAACCAAAGGCCAGGTCGTCCTAAAACTAGTAATCGTATTGAATTGTTGAAAAAGTCCGTAAAATATTGGTATCGCTGATTCTGGCATTTGAACTAAAGTTTTGCGTAAACGATAGGTCTGTGCGCATTTTGTTGCACATGAATGAAGAAAAAAAGTGAAGGAGTTTTTTAATGAAAAAATGGATTTCTCTTCTCTCATCAGTTACCCACCGCATACCCAAATCAATCATGTGACTATTTGCTATTTCCAAAACTGAAAAACAACATGAAAGTAGCATTTTAGAATGATAGCGCAGCCATTTAAGCAGGCCTACGACTGCACGATATGTGTTTGTCTGTTTGTGTGAGAGGGAAAAAATCATTTTTGTTCGCATCTTGTTCGCATTCAATTAAGAACATTACGAAAAACAACAATATAATAAATTTTTTTTTGCTTAAATTTTTAAACACATTATTAGACATTTATATAATTTTAACAACATATGCAATATATATAGGATCAAAAAATATTACGAAACAGTTAAGTAATTAAAAGTATATGTTTATTTGTTCATAAGCAGAAATCGCTTGAGATGTTTACGTATATCCAAAAAATTATATATTGGTAAATCTGAATTTTACTTTTCATGGTTTAGAAAGTAGACCTTTGGAAAGCAGAGACGAAAGTGAGCACCACTCAATATCAAGATAAATATATTATGAAATGTAATATATAATTTGATTCAATTGCTCAAATGTATCCATACTACCTCGTAACATTGAGAATGAAAAAGAAGAGTTCTGTTAAGTGAAGCGTTTGACGGTATTACAGTGTAAATATAGAAGCTCGAAGCAGACAAGCCAGTTTTACCCCCGTCATCGCTTTATACTAAAAAAGCAATTAAACTTGGCCTACATCGCGAAATAGGCTTCATCGTCTCTTGTTTTTGGATATTCCTTTTGATTGGGTTACTCTTTAATGAGTCCTTGTCATTATTTCTAGCCGCTTGTGCCAACAAATGGTTAGAGAAGTTTTTTATACATATTAATTTCTTTTGTCTGTCAAGTTTATTTAAGTAGGCAGATATATATATATATATAGATTTGGGTACAGTACTTATGTATACACTTCGTGAAACTATGTATATATTTGTTCTTACAAATTCAATATACCCACTATAAGAAGTAATAGTAAAAATGTTAGCTTGTAGTAGTAGCTGGGCCTGCTGCCTTTGTAGAGTATAGAGCAATTATTTTGTAATTTTAGAATTTTATATTTTGCATTTGAATAAAATATATAAATATTTTAAAGCAACATTTCAGTTTTCTCCTAACAACATAGCGGGAATTTAAATATTTCAGTATTCTAAGCGTTGTTGACCACCATGCACTGACTGTCATCGTCTTCGGTCAATTTCTGAAGCGCGAACAGGTTAATTTAACACAAAGTGTATTGAACCTTTCACCCGGTTTGAAGGGTTCATCAAGTGCCAACTGCTAATTGCGCCAACATGAACTTTGACTTTGTAGACGCTAAAGTGTGATTGTTGCATGAGCGTTGACGGGCGCGTGCCAAGGAGAGTAGTGTGAGATGATAAGATAAACAATGCCTTGCTTACACATTCATTAGAAACACTAAAAGGACTAGCAGGTCGGTAAACAATTGGTATATACGCAGATAAGGGTTGTCCTTAATGTTTCTGCTTTAATATTTATAGGAAAAAAGCTGAACTAAGCCTTAATATAATACTATATTCAAAGTTGAATTTATGATTTGATAGTTAGGTGACACTTCTGGTCTCTAAAAAGCTTTATTTAAGCCATAAAATTGTATCATTCAGTTCAAGCGTTATGTATTTTCAGTCCTTTTCCCATATTTGTCAAAAACCATATCGGAAATTTTTTGCAATTGACTACGATTTATCTGATACAGGAAATTCAATTCGTTGCGACCTCGATTCGCAATGACGCTAAACACCAAAATCCCTCACATGAATTTGGATTATGAAAATTTTAGCAGACTGAATTATTACCTTTCCAGAATATGAGCTACTAAACAGATATCTGAGCAGTGAGTCCCACGTGACATTAACGTGTGTTTTGGTAATAGAAATCAACAGATAATTTGGACAGAAGTTTCAAATTATTTCCTTTCTATGATTTAAGAACATGCCTTACATTAAGCGACGTCCGCTGATTTCACCTCACTCGCCCTTACAGCCGGACTAAGCCCAGGAGCGAAGTTTTGTTTAATTAGTCGGTGTGCTGTATTTTTGCAGTCGCAGCTCGGTAAGTTGCCTATGCGCAAGACTTTGGATTTTAAGCTGTTAAGATTTCAAAGTAGCTAATGTGTTCCATTGTCAATTAAAGGCATCAATGGAGTTCAAAGTAATAAATGGCGAAAGATCGCCAAGTGATAAAGATTTTGCGGTCAGATGTGCGACAAGGGAGCCACTACATACATCTTAAGAACTAATCTGGCTTCTGGCTAAATTAAGGGTTAACTTGTCTGGAAATGACCGAGCACAATGTTTATTAGGGACCGTCATCAAATTTAATGTTAGTGAAAGCATTTGTTTCTACTGTTGCGCTTCTATTCGAATATGACTTTAGTTGGTAGAGAACTTACTATTAAATTCGCGAACCGATTTTGAGAATATCAAAGGTAAGGGGAGATAAAAAATAGCAGTTGTCGCAAGTCATGCTTGTGAAATGAGAATGACGATAGTTATTATATGGTGCATTTTCATTAGAAATAGTTCCAGTGAAGAATGATGTGATAAAAAATATTTATCGTGGATACAATTTTATTAACTTTAGGCTTTAGTACGAGATATATAATAGTAGGCTAAATAAGTATGCGACAGTCACTTGTTGAATTCGCAGACATTGTAGAACTAAAGGCGAAGGCATCATATAAAAGATTATTTGAGTTCGAGAAAAGTGTTCAATATTATAATTCTACAGACGTCCCGATAGATAATACATAATATTCTTTCAATATAAATTCAATCGCAGTTAATTTAACAATTGAAATCCTCTACCCAATATAAAATATGGTAAGTTTTGTGAACTGAAAGTATGGCATTGTACTCAAGCTGATAATGTGTCAAATTTTTAGTTGAAACAATCCTCCAAGTAGTTTTATATTTAAAGTTTTTTTTACTGAACTTTTTCCGAAGGTGCTTATTTTGATTCGTAGAAACGGCATCAATAAAAAAAAGACAAATCAATACTAAAATGGGATTCTCAAAAGTGCTATAGGGTTTGGAAAAGGTATTGGTTTACATAAATTAGAGTAGGAGTAGAGAATAATATACATAAATACTGATTAAAATATACACGAGTTTTCTAAAATACTGATCAATATTTAAAAAGGTTTCTTACCTTTGGAAATCACACTTTTAATACTAGAATGAGACTAGAAGTTCAAAAAAGTTACACATAATTTCAATAATAATTTCACTTTCTAATACATATTTACAAAATTGAATCGACTCTAAACCAATTCATTTAAATAATTTCGGCTTCCCTTGATCCTGTGTCGATCTCCAAGAGGGCCACCGAAAAAAACGGAGAATTTTTCTGCTTAAAATTACAATATATGAAATAAAAAAAGCGTATTATTAAAATAGACAAATAGAGGTATCGATCGAAGGACTAGTAAAAATTTTAGTTTTTGACAAAATGGGGATTTTTCTAATAAAACGTCATATCTAGTGAAAAGGTTTTATTTTAGAGTGGCTTAAAATATCTAAATTATTAACACAAATCCTATTCTTTACATAATTAGCAGAAAAATATATCTAAGAAGGTTGCGGGAAAATTTCAAGTTCATCAAACCAGTCGTTTCGGAGAAATTTTCCTCACCGACGCTGAAAACATCGTTTCTAAAAAAACGTGTTAAAACTTTTGGGGTTACAGTAAGTAAAAAAATTCTTACAAATATGCTCATATCTTCGACAATATTAGCCGGGTCGACTTTAAATTTTCAGAGAATATTCTCAAGTATATGTGTATCCCCCACGCATGACATATAATTTGACCTAATTTGATCCGTACTGACAAAAAACAATCGCCTTCATTCGGTAGATTGTTGGACAGTTTCGACGTCACGTTCATAAACCCTCACCTCGTCACCAGTAATGATGCGTTACATACATTTAAGGTCTTTAGTGACTTTATGAAGTATCTCTTTTGC